TCTTCAAACTTCTAGCAGAGGCTGAACCTATTCCATAAATTTTACGAACCATTTGGGCTAACCGAAATTCCCAAAACTTCCAGGAAGTACTCAGAACAAACCCTGAAGTTATAAGATGTTTCCTGAGCATCCACGAAATTCCCTAAACTTGCATATGGATGAAAGTCTCTTCCATAAAGAAACCTAACCTAATTCCCTGCACTTCTATGAAATTCCCTGCACTTCTACGATGTTACCTGCACTTCTATGAAGTTTTACGAAGTTTCTCGAATTGCTACGTTATTCACTAAACTTACACAAAGCCTACTAAACTACTATGTAGTTCACTATACTCTTGTGAAGTTACCTGAACTATTGAAAATTTCGTGAATTCTCTGCAATGTTCCCTTAAGTTCTAGTAAATTTTCTGAAATTCTGCGGAATTCCCTAAACTTTTCGATGTACATTAAACTTTAACAAAGACATCTGAAGTAGAAAAAATGTCCTGGAAATTTTACGAAATTTTCGGTAACTAAACAAAGTTAAGTTAAGTTTTCGGTAACTAAACAAAGTAGTGCAATGTTCCCACTTCAACGAAGTTCTCCGGAATTAAAACGACCTCTACGAAACTCACTGAATTTCAAATAAATCGCCTGAGTTTGTACGATATTCCTGAACATCTAAAAGTCCCTGAAGTTTTAAGATGTTCAAAGAAGTAAAATTAAAACCCTTATCGTCAACGAAGTTCCCCGAAGTTCTATAAAGTTTGATGAAGTTCTACACAAGTTCTCTCCACTACTACATTTACCGAAGCTCTACAACATTCTCAGCACTTTTATGAAGTTCACTGAAATTCTACGAAAATTGCTAAGCTACTGCAATGTTTGCGGAGCTGTTTGTAAATTATCTGAACTGCTGTTTGCTGCAGTTCTAGAAAGTTGCCAATATGCTACTACTAAGATTTCGAAAGTTCTATGAAAGCAAATGACGCACCAAGAGCTAAAATCGGCTCAGAATCAACCAAGATATGGCCATTTCACTGGAATCGGTCCTGAAGGGGGGTTCTGAGTGCGGTCAGTTCTTTCATTCACTCAAAACATGATATGTGACACCTCTCTCTTGGGCCTCCCTTAGCTCAGTCGGTAAAGGCGCAGCTACAAAGCAAGACCATGCTGGAGGTGGCTGGGTTAGATTCCCGGTACGGTCTAGGAATTTTTCGGGTTGGAAAATTTCTCGACTTCCTTGGGCATAGAGTATGATGGTACTTGCCACACAATTATACTAATGCAAAAATGGTACAAGCATCGAAAGCTCTCAATTAATAACTGTGGAAGTGCACCTAGAACACTAAGTTGAGAGCACGCAATAAGCTAATATGCGATTAGCAATAAGCTTGAAATGCGAAGAAGAAGAAGAAGGACTCCTCTTTCTTTATGGTTTTTTACCAATAGGCTTTCTATAGAATTTAAATTGAGCATTGACCACATTGGCTACTTCCGGAGCCACCGGAGTGCCCCCGGGGAAACCTGTAGCAGGGGACAAATTCATTTTTACTCCAAAACATGCCGTGCGCACCTCTTTCTTCGTGGTTTTTTTTAACAATAGGCTTTCTACAGATTTAAAATGGACCATTGACTACATGACACTTCCGGAACCACCGGAGTGCCCTCGGGGGAACCCGTAGTAGGGGACAAATTCATTTTTACAAAAATCATGCCGTGTGACACCTCTTTCTTCATGATTTTTCATCAGTAGGCTTTTTATAGACTTTAAATGGATCATTGACCACATTGGCCACTTCCGAAACCACCGAAGTACCCCCGGGGGAACCTGTAGTACGAGACAATTGCATTATTACACCAAAACATGCCGTACAACACCTCTTTCTTCGTGGTTTTTCATCCGTAGACTTTCTATGGACTTTAAATGGATCATTGACTACATTGACCACTTCCGGAACCACTGAAGTACCCCCGGGGGCACCTGTAGTAGGGGGAAATTGCATTCTTACACCTAAACATGCCGTGCGACCGCTCTTTCTTCATGGTTTTGCATCAGTAGGCTTTCTATAGGCTTTAAATGGATCATCGATCGCATTCACCACTATCGGAACAACCGGAATGCCCCGAGGAAACCTTAAGTAGGGGAGAATTTAATTTTTACACCAAAACATACCGTGTGACAGCTCGTTCTCCATGGTTTTGCATCAGTAGGCTTTCTATAAAGTTGAATTGGATCATTAATTACATTGGCCGCCTCGGAACTACCAAAATGCGCTACGGGAAACCTGCAGTAGGTGACAATTGCATGTTTACGCCAAACTGTGGCATACGATAGCTCTTTCTCGTGGTTTTTCATCAGTAGGCTTTCTATAAACTTTTATTGGATTATTGGTCACATTTCCCGCTCACTGAACAACCAAGAGGCCCCACGGAAACCTGTAGCAGGGGACAATTGCATTTTTACACCAAAACATTCCGTATGGCAGCTCTTTCTTCACGGTTTTTCATCAAAATACTTTTAAAGACTTGAATTGGATTATTGACTAGATTGGCTGCTCTCGGCACCACCGGGATTTCCCTGGGGAGGGATCCCTTTAGCAGGGGACAATTGCATGTTTGAACCAAAATGTGCCGTGCAACAACTCTTTCTTCATGATTTTTCATCAAAACGGTTTCTGTAGAAGTGGATTATTGACCATATTGGCCAGTTTCGAAACCATCGAGAAGCCCCCGGAGAACCTAGAGCAGAGGACAATTATATTTTTACACCAATTCATGCCGTACAACAGCTCTTTCAATAATTCAATAATAACATTGAGAAAGATTTTTTCGGAAGCAAGGACTAGCCTTGCTCTCGTCTGGGAATTGAATCGTACGGTTAATGAATTGTTTCAATAGGTATTTAATACCACTCGTCAATCAAAAGTTTTTCAAACTTTTTTACGTCGATGGTGGGAACACGCTCCTCACTCAAATGGGAAAGCAACGAAAAACAACGCATTTTACTCCAGGGGTGCATTTTAGTTCATCCTTACTTAATATTCAAATTTTGCTTTTGTCTTCGTTAATGTGACTATGCAGCGTGTGATTAGTAAGATCAGATTGAAAAAGAGAAGAAGACAAAGATGCATATACAATAGACTGATGCAAAATTTGACTTTTTCGCTCCACATAGCCTAAATGGTTTCAAATCGGGTCCTGATTTGCCTCCCAAAGTTACAACTCATTTGGTAAGAAACAGACTTCACACAAGCCATTTGAAGTTTACATGTAAATTACTATGGGAAATCATAACTTTTTGTTCATTGCCTTCTAGTCTTTTTCCATATTGAACTGCGAAACAGTTCGATATCCATTCTTACAGAAAATTTTCTCAGCTACAACTTTGCTCAAGTTTGTTTCTATGTAAAACGAGACAGGAAAAAGTTATTAATTATTTAAGAGATTGGTAAACTTATGACATGATCAAGCAGCTGCTCTGTAGGCAACACTGTATTTTGCAGTGTGACATAGTAGCCATGATTTTTGTGTCCTATTCAACGCCCCAGAAACACCAATGTTGCCTGCTGAGCAGTTGATTGAGCATGATCATTATACATCAGCGCATTGAACCATTGATAACTTTCGATCCTTGCATTTAATCAAAAAATTGTTTTTGATCAAAGCTGTAGCTGGGAAAATTTCCTACAAGTACAGTTGAAAGCTTTTGAAGCAGACCTATATGGTGAAATATTAGATAGACATGAACAAAAATCTTGGTTTTACCATAGTAATTCCCATACAAACTTCAACTATTTCTCACCAAATGGGTTCAAATTTTGATAGGTTAGTCAGGATCCGATTTGGAATCGTTTAAGTATTGTGGAGCGAAAATTTCAAATTTTGCATCACTCTAATATTCATTCTTTGCGATTCGTTATGAACAATGTGAACAGTGAACGTTGCGACCAAGATAATCATAAAAGGTAGCCTTGATGTTGACTTGCATCTGTATTAGTATTTCGAAAATCAGCTGATAACCTGTTTTACTGTTGTTGTGATCCATTCAAAGTCAATAGAAAGCCTACTGATGAAAAACCATGAAGAAAGAGGTGTCGCATGGCATGTTGTTATGTAATAACGGAATTGTTCCCTACTACATGTTCCCTCGGGGGTACTCCGGTGTTTCCGGGAGTAGCCAATGTGGCCAAACTCATCACTAATTTAGCAATTTAGACATGCCCTCAGGAAACCCAGAATATCTCCGGTATCCGGTAGCCATGGTCACTTCCATTGCCTTACCATCAAATTTGATTAGTTTTCCAGTCGAATGCTTCTTGAAGATTAAAAATTGAACACTGTTCAATGAAGTTACAACAGTCTAAAGTTGGACAAAATTTTGCTAGTACCCTAAATTTCTCACAACCCCTGTATAACAAACTGCATTAATCTTTTTATTATAACGTGGATAATATTGAGCATTTACTGTGTGATCGAATATATTTCTCACGGTGCACTTACTGGTTCAAGTTCTTAAAGAAATAAAATCGAGTCGAAATAAAAATCCCGGTATCCACGGGATTGCGGAATTTATAAGTGTTTATCCCTGGATCTGGGAATCCCGGGATTTTTCATCCCGGGACAACTATCTAGTAGGAACAGACATAACTTTTCTTGTCCGAAAATATGCATTGGATGTAAGAAATCCATCCTTACATTTGATGTTCATGACATTTTTTTTGCATATAATTATCGATTTTCGTTCAGATCCATCAGGAATTAGGCTGACGTCAAAACACAAAATAGAAGTTTGCTACTGTGTTACATGTCAGATGCGAACCAGCCATTCAGCCTTCAATCTCTTTAATAAAGTAACCTAACCTAAGCTACCCTGTGTTACATCGCATGTGTTTCGATTGTTGTCCCAATATGAATATAATGGAGCGGCAGTATAGATATCACCCATCATAGTGCCCATCATTATCCTTTGGATTGTAATGAATTAAGGTAAAACTAACAATCACCCGCTTCCATTTTCAGTCACATCTCCGCCGTCACGATGCTGGGCGTCCCGGCGGAAATGTACCGCTACGGCACCCAGTACTGGGCCTGTTCCATCTCCGGAATAATCGTCACCATATTCATGGTGTACGTTTTCCTTCCGGTGTTCTTCGAACTGCAAACAACCTCCTGCTATGCCTACCTGGAGCTACGTTTCAGCAAACGGGTCCGCTCGTTGGCCAGCCTCCTATTCATGCTGTACTGTCTGCTGAACGTTCCGGTGCTAATCTACACACCGGCGATAGCATTCAGTCATGGTAAGTAACACACGGCAATGCCTTCAATCACAGTTCGATATCCGTTGTTCAAACATGCTGCCTTTGCTTTCAGTCAGTGGGATCAATTTGCACATCATCACGCCAGTCATATGCTGTATTTGCATTTTCTACACCACTTTTGGGGGAATACGGTTTGAGCAAATTCGCCATTTTTTTCGGACTGAACAGTGAGGTTTGATTAATCGATGCTTTTTGATGGTTTTAGCGCTGTGATATGGACGGATACTTTGCAATTTGGAGCAATGCTGTTGGCGCTCTGCGTGGTAATGACGCTCGGAACTCTGCAGCTGGGTGGCTTTATTAACATTTTCAAAATTGCTGATGCAGGAGGTCGACTGATTTGGTTCAAGTACGTATTGATTTATCATGTGTATAACAGTTAATGAATTGCGATTTTTTTTCAGCGTGGATCCTGATCCCACCCTGCGGTCATCGTTTTGGCTAGTATCGGTAGGGCTCACCTCGATGTGGATTTCTAACATTGGAGTAACCCCGGAATGCATACAACGATTTTTAACTGTTCCAGATCTATCGAGTGCCAAAAAGTGACCACAAACGCATATTTTAAAGTTACAAAATAGCTCAATACAACCCACTTCTAGGGCAGTTTGGATATTCGGTGCCGGACATATTATCGTAAAGCTGTGTTCCGTCTACAATGGCCTGCTGATATTTAGTAAATACCACGACTGCGACCCAGTTCACTCCGGTTTGGTGAAGAAAAACGATCAGATTTTCGCCTACTACGTTCTGGACGTTGCACAGAAAATTCCCGGGCTGCCCGGATTGTTTGTCGTGGGAATATTTTCCGCTGCTCTATCATCGATGTCGACCACCATGAATACCCTATCCGGAACGATGTACGATGACTTCGTGAAGCCTCACTTCAATTTAAACGAGTCAACGGCAAGCACGGTCATCAAATCTATGGTCGTATTCATTGGAGTACTCTGTTTGCTGTTGGTGTTTGTGGTCGAGAAGCTGGGCAGTGTGTTCAGTTTGGCAATCTCGGTGTCCGGAGTGACGTCCGGTACGCTGTTGGGGATCTTCTTCCTTGGAATGTTCTCCCCGAAAATCAATGCTAAGGTAAGAAGGGATACTTTTTGGCTCTAGGATTGAAGTTAATCAACCTCTCATGCAGGGTGCATTCTGGGGTGCGATTATTTCACTGGGAGCGTTATGCGTGATAGCAGCAGGAGCTCAGTTGGAGATCCTTAATGGGAATCTTAAGTATCAGAGTCTGCCGCTACGGTATGATGGCTGCTCGGGATTCAATTCAACTGGGTAAGTTTTCGATTGATATTTTCATTCGTCCGTCTCTTATCATCATCAATTTCGATCCATTCCCCATTTTCAGCACGGAAACCTCTACCTTCTATGTCGACGCTGAGGGACATGACAATTCCGAGGTGCCTTGGGTGTTCCGATTGGGTTTCATGTACTACTCCCTTCTGGGCACGGTCATAGCCGTTGTAGCGGGAACCATCATTAGTTTCATCACGGGAGGTCAAAAGGAACCCATTCCAGAGCAGCTACTAACGCCCTGGGTTCGCCCTCTGTACAGACCGATTCGCAGCGTCGACGACTACGAGTGCAAACTTACCAAAAATCAGCTGTACGCGGTTAAGGAGGTGCAAAAAAATTGTAAATAGAATTACTCTAAGATCAGATCTTTATTGTAAATAGTTCTAAAAAATATTTCAAATATTAAATCAATGCTACCGTTTATCTGGCTTTCCCAGAGCAGGCCTTACGTAAGTTTTGGAACCCATTCGTTGGTTGATGTACTGCTGACGAATTTCTCTCAATTGCTTGGCAATTGAAATCACTTCCTGATCGGCATCGTTCAAGTCCTTTTTCAATGTATTGTTGTAAGTGCTGTAGATCCACTCAACAGACTTCTCCACGTTAGCTTGAAATCCCTCCAGAACATGCTTGGTATGGCGAAAACGTGCTGGATTGACCATATCAGTCAACATGTAGATCAATCCATGCTTCACAGCGGACTGCTGTCGAAGAGTAACGAAAGGAATTTCAACCTGAGGCAACGCTGCCTGAGCTGCCTCCAAGGCGATCAAAGCACCGTGACATGCCGTTCGGCAATCCAGCACCAAAGAAATCCTCTCCGCTGCTGTAGATGACTGTTCAACAAGATTCCAGTATTCGACGGCTTGCAGTAGCCCTTTAAGTGAAGCTCTCATTAATAAACCAGCCGTCCTCCATTGCTCGGAGACTCCCCCTAAACGGTCACGGATTTCACGCGCCGAATCAAGTTCCTCGTCCAGACGTTGCTCAAGTACGGAACTGTAGCTGCCATTGTTTGCCGAGGCTACCAAATGATCCAACTCCAAGTAGAGTGTCTGCAGTCGTGTGAAACTCTGGCGAAGATTTGCTACACGAGCTCGCGAGTGTTCAACCATATCTGCGCGAAAACTTTGCGCCTCGAGTGTCATGGCAGAGCGGGTGATGCGGGCAATGAACTCCTCCTGCCGAGCGGCTTTCACCGGATCCAGTGCGATGCCCAATTTCAGGGCTATCTGTTGAAACACAAAATCAAAGTTTACATCTTCATCGAATGATCGTACAATTAATGAGTAAAATGAAACAACCATACAACATCTAGTGAAAAGAAAATACATACTCGACGAACCTTAGCCGTATCATCTCTACTACGATCGAAAGCCACTTCAGCAGTTTCCGGCTTGGAAGATCCATACGCCCCATTCGGAACATCATCCAGTCTAACATCAATCACCAATCTGTTGTCGCGTTCATACAGCTCGTTGGTGGCACCAGCTTTTTCAAACACCGCATTCAGATGTTCAATCCACGCTTCCGCAGTCAGTAGCCGAGGTCCCGGACAACTGCTCTCAAGAACACATATCTCCTCGTCTAGTCGCCGGTACGCTTGGGGGACAGTTTCCGAAGGCTTGATTTGATGCAGAATTTTTATGATAAGTTCAATCAAATAAATACAATTTTTTCACCTTCGGTGCAGCGTTTTCCACCTGAACGGAATCCCCTGGCAATCCAGTGAAAGTTTTGGCAACTCTCCGCACAGGTGTGCTCGGATAGGTATCTCCTTCTTCTTCGACCGCTGTGCTTGATGTGGAGCATCCCATGGTACATCTCGCTAACGATTTGCCAAGGAATCAACTATCAACCGTCGTGTGTACTCTCGTAGGTACTTTCGCGCGATTCAGTATCGATTGCAACGACCTCCAAATGACTCACTTCACGCGTGGCTGGTATTCACGTTAACGACAATAGCACTGAGCTTTGCATAGTAGTAGCACATTTGCCTTCACTTTTTTATGTTTACTCAATCAAATCAGTAGGGGTAACTCCATGGTGTGCTTAGGTACCTACATGTGAAGGTCGAGTCACTCACTGAAAGGACTGACGAGGAAAAATCATTTTCCACTCATGCAGGGTGTCACTGGGGGAATAATCGCGACTGCGAGGTACATATATCATTCCGGTTCAATGCAGTCAGCGTCGCGTGCTATACACGCGATTATCTATTGTAGTGATCTATTCAGATGCTACTGGATAACGAATAACTGGCATGGTAACTGGCATGCTATTTGATAGTTAATAGCTCCAAAGCATTAACGATGAATAAAGAAAAATAAATTATCAGTGACGAACTTAAAGCTTCAGGCTGAATAGGACAAGACGCAGACAGTTAAGGAGGGGGAGGGGGTTGACGAGTATGGTATGAATGAATGTCAACCGATGAGACGGACTTTAAATCTATCAAAAACAGTCCTTGTAATTTGTGGACAGCTCCTTAATAGCTGTACATATTTAACTGCTAGCTTTGTACCCTATGTGGACAATTACATGCAATCGGTTCAGACACTAAAAAGAGCTAGCTTTGATATTGTGATAACAGTAATTCTCTGTATGCCACAAAAATGTATTTTACCTGCACTATTAATCCATTAGTTTGTAGGTGAATCGTTCTGTAATTAGGACCATGATGATAATTTTGATAATTGTGTGTGATAATTAGAGACGTCCGATTTGAAGAATATTTGATAATAAATAATGCAACGAAAATGGTTATTGATTTATTTTTTCAATATTTAAAATGTTTGACCTGAAATTCTCGAATAGGGGAAATGGATGTAATGTCGGCCTAAAAACCCCTAATTTGGTTCCATACATAAATTCAGCAATCGACTAAATTTTCAGTAGCGACCAAAAATATCCATAAGTACCGTCCCAATGACGCGTTCATCTAGATAAAATTCATAAATAGCAGATTTTTAGCGATGGGCCCAATCTTAGATCCATAGGCCAACATTAGAGCCATTTCCCCTAGCTGGAGATTGTTTGAATACTTCCTGATCAATATTACATTTTGAGAGAATATATGCGGGAAGACATTTTAATTTTTTAACAGGTTAAAGATCTTCAGAACAATACTGGATCAACCTGCACTGGCGGTAGCCGCAAGTTAGTCCCATCTTTATTTGTATCAAGTATGAGTAAGCATTATTATTCAGTTTATCTTTCAATGTTTTTTGCAGTGCTATTGAAAAAAGATGGTTTCCTCAAGAAAAATTGCAAACAATATCAAGTCAAATTGTTCCACAAAAAATTTGTGGCATCGCGAGTGATAATTTTAATTTCAGTTTATTAACGCGGTTATGAGAACGGTGCTGATCTATTGTTAAGCTGGGTTTTTGACAGGGCAAGTCAATTGATCAAGTCAGTTGAATTCAACTGACTTGAACGCGAATTGAACGTGTAAACCATGCCATTCAACAGACTTGATCAACTCACTTGAATTGAAAAAAAATGAACCAGGCTCATCTTTTCAAGCCAATTGAATTCAACTGAGTTGATCATATTATTTGCCTAATCGATGTACATTGCTTTTGTGCACAGAGTGACTTGAAAGCGAAGATAAGTGATATTTAGTTATTATGTGGTTGGAATTGCTGGAGGAGAAATTGTTTAAAAATTACTAGAGAAAAATATGCGTGTAAGCATCGGGAATGCGCTCCCGGGTGTACTGATTAGGTGAGTACGTTCCAGTTGAAGATTGTTGAAAAGTGTATTTATGGTGATGCAAATCATGGTTTAGATGACGCATGGCTTCAAACATTTTGTGAATCCAAATAAAACATATTACCTACTAAATACGCACAGGGCACCGTCTGCTGACCATTGCCGCGGATATATCGTGGGAGTCCCAGGTACCCGGTTCAAGCTTGAGTTGGCGGCGGTGGCTCTTCTTGACCTTCTACCCCTGAGGAGTTAGTGTGAATAAGGGCGTCTATGTGATGTTTTGCTGTACCTGTTGTGGACATCTAGTGCACCCTGTCTTGCCTCAAAAGTTACCCTTTTTGAAGTACTTGTCTTCTCAACAAAAAGGGCACCATTACGGAGCATGAGATTTGATCAAATTATTCGCAGTTCTACTTGTCCAACGCCCCCGGCTGGGTGAGGGATATAGGATGACACACACACACACACACACACACACACACACACACACACACACACACACACACACATACACACACACACACACACAAACACACACACACACACACACACACACACACACACACACACACGCACACTCACACTCACTCACACACACACACACACACACACACACACACACACACACACACGTACGGAGAAAGAGAGGGAGATAACGTCGAAATCACCAGCGAGGAGCTCGTAGTAGTGGCGAAAGGATTGAAGGTGAAGAAAGCTCCCGGTCCGGATGGAATCCCCAACGTAGCGTTGAAAGCGGCGATCCAGTCATCCCCGGACATGTTCAGGATGGTGCTGCAGAAATGCCTGAACGAGGGTCACTTCCCTGACAGGTGGAAGATACAGAAGCTAGTGTTGCTGCCGAAACCAGGAAAACCGCCGGGGGATCCAGCATCATACAGGCCTATATGCCTGCTGGATACACTCGGAAAACTCTTGGAGAGGATCATCCTAAACAGGCTGACAAAATACACGGAGAGTGAGCACGGATTGTCGGAGAGGCAGTTCGGATTCCGGAAAGGGAGATCGACGGTGGATGCAATTCGGACAGTGGTCGAGAGAGCTGAAAAGGCGTCCAAACAGAAGCGGAGAGGAGATCGATATTGCGCCGTCATAACGATCGACGTCAAGAATGCGTTCAACAGCGCCAGCTGGGAGGCCATCGCCGAAGCACTGCATAGAATGAGGGTCCCTGACTACCTGTGCAGGATCCTGAGGAGTTATTTCCAGAACCGGCTTCTGGTCTACGAGACAGACATGGGACAGAGATCGATTAGGATCACAGCGGGAGTTCCACAAGGCTCCATCCTTGGTCCAACGCTCTGGAACGGGATGTACAACGGCGTGCTAACGCTGAAACTGCCCAAAGGAGTTGAGATCGTTGGCTTTGCGGACGACGTCGTCTTGACGGTAACAGGCGAGACGCTGGAAGAGGTGGAAGTGTTGTCAACCGAGGCAATCGACATGATTGGTAACTGGATGAAAGGAGCGAAGCTGCAAATAGCCCACCACAAAACGGAAGTGTTATTGGTCAGTAACTGTAAAGCGGTACAGCGGGCGGAAATCACCGTCGGGGAGCACACCATAGCCTCGAAGCGTGTGTTAAAATACCTGGGAGTGATGATCGATGACCGGCTAAACTTCAACAGCCACGTCGAATATGCCTGTGAGAAGGCTTCGAAGGCCATCAACGCGATAGCTAGAATCATGCCGAACAACGCTGGTCCCAGCAGTAGCAAGAGGCGTCTTCTGGCCAGCGTGTCATCATCGATACTGAGA